TGTAATCCCAGCACTTTGGGAGGCTAAGGTGGGAAGATCGCTGAGCCCAGGAGTTCAAGACCAGCCTGGGCAACATAGCAAGACCCCATCTGTTTAAAAAAAAAAAAGGCAAGGCACAGTGGCTCACTCCTGTAATCCCAGCACTTTGGGAGGCCAAGGCAGTTGGACTGCTTGAGCCTAGGTGTTTGGGGCTAGCCTGGGCAAAATAGCAAGACCCCATCTGTTTTTCCTTTAAAAAAAAAAAAAAAAGGGCTAAGTGCAGTGGCCCACAACTGCAATCCCAGCACTCCGGGAGGGTGAGGCAGGTGGATCACTTGAGCCCAGGAGTTTGAGACCAGCCTGGGCAACATGGCAAAACCCCATCTATTTAGAAAAAAAAGAAAAAAAATGAAAATGTAACTTGAGTCACTGAGGTGGCCCATCAAGGCCCTGGCTCTGAAGGATGCTTTGCTGACCTGGGTGGATGGACATGCCACCTTCCAAGGTGCCACTGTAGAGCAAGACACCAGGGGAAGTGCAGATTTGTCCTTGGTTTCTTGTAGTGGCATTTGAGGGGTATCCACGTTTTGTGCTTTGATCAACGTGTGGAGCCACTCCTGTGTCCAGAGGTTGCTGCCCTGGTCCCAGGCTAGATTCCATTGAGGTTGGTTTAATGTTTTTCTCCACTAATCCCCATATCCCTTTCAGAGAACACCTTCAAACGCATTGGACCCCCGCTGGAGAAGCCTGTGGAGAAGGTGCAGAGGGTGGAGGCCCTCCCGAGGCCCGTTCCGCAGAACCTGCCACAGCCACAGATGCCGCCCTACGCCTTTGTGCACCCACCCTTCCCCCTGCCTCCCGTGCGACCTGTGTTCAACAACTTCCCTCTCAACATGGGGCCTATCCCAGCCCCATACGTGCCCCCTCTGCCCAACGTGCGGGTCAACTATGACTTCGGTCCCGTCCACATGCCCCTAGAGCACAACCTGCCCATGCACTTTGGCCCCCAGCCGCGGCATCGATTCTGATGGCCCCGAACCCCCATTGAGCAGCACAGAGCCCGTTTGGGGTGGGAGTGTGTATAGAGAACCCTCCCCCAAGGCTGGTGGCTATGCCATTGCATCTTAGATCAGGTTGAAGGGTAGGCTGGTTTTCTTCCCACCCCTTTCCCAGAAGGGCCACTGCTCCCAGAAGAGTGGTCACAGCTGGTGGCCCTCTGGGGGCCTGCATGGGATTGGTCTGGCTCCTACTGGGCAGAGTTAAAAGGGCCTTGAAGCCCTTCCTGAAGAGTTCTGCCATCCTAGCAGGCAGCATGGTGGCCCTGGCTGCTGTGTCACTCCAGTCCCTACAGAAAGAGACCAAGAGGAAATATTTTGCCTGCATTCATTTTTACTCCTAGCAAACACCAGGGAAAAACCTCTCAGAATTAAAACCACATGAGCCTTCCTTACATAGCACAGACAGATCCATAATAAAAATGAAGTCCCAAATGGTGGAGTTCAGAGAGAGCTGCGATGTGAACTGCTCCTCCCCTCCCATCCCCCCAGGCCACCAGTGGCAGCCCTTCTGCCTTGTCCATGGCATAGGCCGTAGGCCAGGCCCTTGCTACTCACACCTGGGCCGCCTCGGAGTGGACCCCTGGGGAGCAAGGCTGCCGAGAGCATTTCCCTGGAGGGGCCCACAGTTGGGCAGAAGGGGCTGCACCTGCAGGCCCGGGAAGCATTGCTCAGGGTGGGGGGCCGGGACCGTGGCCCACAGAGGCACTGCCACCACCGTGAGGGCCAAGATGCTGTCCCCCCATCTACAACCCGTGCACCACTGCAGTGAGTGTTGAGGGCACCTGTTCTCTCCGCTCTTAGACCTACTCAGATGAGGCAGCAGCAGACCCTTCTCGCGGCAGGGGTTTTGCTCTGTTGCGGTCTGTCTCACCCTCAGTCTCTGGAAAGTCAGACTGAGAAATCCTTTCCCAGGCCAGGCCACTGCAGCGCACTGGATGGTTCTGAAGCTAGCCCATCGAAAGAGCCTCTTGAGGTAGCTAAGATAGAGGCCTGGTGGCCCTGCCAGGCAGCCCAACTGCTAAGGGAGACATTTCTGCTACCCTGGGTGATAAGCAGCTTTTCCTCTCTGGCTTTTTGGGGGAGGAGTGGGCCTCCTGAGGGAGACAGGTGATCCTGGGTGCTGCCCCTGCCCCGTGTGTTCCCCTGGGTGTTCTCAGTGGTTGGTGAAGGCAGGTAGAGGGTGCTGTCTAGTACCTCCTATGTGAGGGCCACTTCCCTTCTCATGGGGTCAGCTGAGCATCAGCTCGGCCCTGCCATGTCCCCACTCGCCCTCCTCGCTTCCTGTCCTGCCCCAGGTTTCTAGCCATGCCCAAGGCATCACTCTGGCCCATTGGCAGATGAGAGGCCTGAAACCTTCCTGGCTACAGGCCATCACTTTCTCCTCCCCGTGGCCTGCATTGTCATGTTACCATGAGGTTCCAAGAGGTTTGGAGTTCACAGACCTCAGACACAGTTGAGCCCGACAACCACTGGGGTGGGGCTGTGTCAGCCTCCTGAGTGGCCTGCCACCTCCTGCATCAGGGCCTGGCCCACCCGAGGTGCCTAGGGCAGGCGGGCACCATCATTTGCTGCCATTGGCTTCTCAGATGTATTTCACGGACTAAAGTGGGTTTAAAAAGATCTAAGATGGGCCGGGCGCGGTGGCTCACGCCTGTAATCCCAGCACTTTGGGAGGCCGAGACGGGCGGATCACGAGGTCAGGAGATCGAGACCATCCTGGCTAACACGGTGAAACCCCGTCTCTACTAAAAAAATACAAAAAAACTAGCCGGGCGAGGTAGCGGGCGCCTGTAGTCCCAGCTACTCAGGAGGCTGAGGCAGGAGAATGAAACCTGGGAGGCAGAGGTTGCAGTGAGCCAAGATTGCGCCATTGCACTCCAGCCTGAGCAACAAGAGCAAAACTGTCTCTCAAAAAAAAAAGATCTAAGATGGCCCAGTGCGGTGGCTCCCGCCTGTAATCCCAGCACTTTGGGAGGCCAAGGTGGGCGGATCACCAGAGGTCGGGAGTTCGAGACCCCGTCTCTACTAAAAATGCAAAATTAGCTGGATGAGGTGGTGCATGCATGTAATCCCAGCTACTCAGGAGGCTGAGGCAGGAGAATGAAACCTGGGAGGCAGAGGTTGCAGTGAGCCAAGATTGCGCCATTGCACTCCAGCCTGAGCAACAAGAGCAAAACTGTCTCTCAAAAAAAAAAGATCTAAGATACCCATTCTTTCTGCCTTTGCCCAGGATGGAGGCTTTGAAGACAGGTGGTCACCTGGGCATGGGGTAAGGGTGCGTTGGGGGGCCGGGCTTGGGGGCAGCCTGCTGCTATGTCCTTGCGCCCCTACCTGTTGGGCTGCCTGAACTTTGCTACCAGCCTGAACGACAGTGCCTTGGAAAGGCAGGCTCCACGCGGCAGCAACAGGATTGTCTTCAGTACCTTCAATATGCTCCCTGTGCTTTCCCAGGGAGGATCTCTGGGAGCAGAGGGCAGCTGCAGACATGCCAGCTGAAGAGGAGGTGACCTCAGGCCCAGGGAGCCTCAGTTCCCTCTGCCCTGCACCCTAGGCACGTGGCTCCAGCAAGGGGCCCAGGCAGGACAAAGGGAGCAGGCAGCAGCTGCGGAAACAGCCCTAGACAGGTGCTGGCCTCAACCGTGGCAGGGGAGGGGGAGCCCGGAGTGATGTTTCTCCTAAGGCCAAACCCCAAGGGTGGGTCATTTGAGAGGAGTTCCAGCTGTTTCTGGCCACGCTGGGCTGGTGGGGAAGGAGCTGCTGCCTTCTTCCTTGGAGGGTCCCTGATTCCTGAGGATCCTCCCTGAGCCAGGCACAGGGGACCGCAGGGCTGCTGTGAGCACCCACATTGGCTCTCCAGGCCCCTCTGTCCAGAGGCAGGGGCTGGACCTCAGGCTCCTGCCTGGACCAGGGACGGGAGAAAAGCACTGGGTGTCTTCTGAGCAGCCAGCAGGAGGTCGTGCCGGTGCCCAGAGAGCAGGTCAGACCACAGGCAATCCTGAGGCAGCTGGCACCTCCTCTCTTCCCCTGCAGGGCTTGCCCCAGGGCACAAGGCTCCCCAGCCACAGCCCCCTCTTACTTGCCTTAAAACTGGAGAGAGGAATCTAGTATTTGCACTTAGCAAAGTATTTAAAAACTGAAAAAAATGCATGATCTGTCACTTTGTATAAAAATAGAAAAAACGATTAAACTTTTTCTTTACCTTCTGGTAGTAAAAATAGATAAAATAATTCCGTTTCAACTACTGTGTGTAAAAAGCCTGTATCATATGTAACTGGGACTTTTTGTAAATAAATGTTTGTGCGCTCTGCTCCTTCTGGCTTCATCTCTCCGCACCACCATCCGGCAAGTTACAGGGGCAGCTGACAGATTCGTCCAAGTGATTCGATCTAAACCAGCATCCGCACCTTCATGACTGGGTCCTGGCAGGATCAGGCCTGAAAGGCCCGGTAGTAGAATCCCCCACCACTCCCCTGCGAGGGAGGAAGATCAGGTGATCTGCTAGGCAAATCCTGCTAGGGCGGCTACCAAGGCCCAGATTGGGCACAAAGGGTCTATTTGTTTTTGGCACAGAATCCCCTTCAAGAAAAGGGCAGTCAGTTTCTTTTGCAGGCCCCTTTCCCAGTCTCTGCCCACCTAAAGGTCAGGTAAACCAGGAGAAGCCTCACCCAGCTGAGGAAGGGACAAGGTTCCAAGAACAGGAGGTGCCTGGGCTGAGAGGCCATGGCATTTGAGCCCCTTCCCTGACTAGTGACATGCTGCAGTGCCAGGGCCCTGCTACCCTTGCTGTTGGCACAGCCTCTTCCCCTCCAGAGTCCTTCCTGCCATGTACCAGGCCAGGCAGGAATCTGGACCCTAGATCTGAAGGGGGCCCTGGGCACAGGGGAAGCTGTGACCTCCAAATGCAGATGGACCACAGCTCGCTTTAATAAAACATGGGGTCTCCTGCCATATGCAACTTTCTATAGAACAATCACCTGTTTTTCGCACGTCTGAGAAAAAGTATACTAAAAGCTTCAAGAGAAAAGTTACATCCCCCGAAAAGTTACCCACATTTCCAGCTTCTAAACAATGCGTTTTTGGTTTTTTCTGAAACGGAGTCTCGCTCTGTCACCCAGGCTGGAATGGAATGGTATGATCTCGGCTTACTGCAACCTCTGCCTACCAGGTGATTCTCCTGCCTCAGCCTCCTGAGTAGCTGGGATTACAGGCATCTGCCACCACTCCAGGCTCATTTTTTTGTATTTTTAATAGACACAGGGTTTCACCATGTTGGCAAGGCTGGTCTCAAACTCCTGACCTCAGGTGATCTGACCACCTTGGCCTCCCAAAGTGCTAGGATTACAGGCGTGAGCCACCACACCGGACCCAATTCATGTTTATTTTTAATTTGTTCATGGCATGCAGTCGTTGTTCCTGTTCCTCCTCTATATTTGCAACAACAACATAAAATTTTCTGCAATTTCAGTAAATAAATAAAAGCTATGTATCCATTGTGCTGCTATCCTTTTTCCATCCAAAGTGACCAGGGTGGTGGTATTCGTCCCACCTTCCCCAGGCGCTGGCCAGCACATTGCAACACGTCTGATCAGGATTTGGGGGCCTTTGGTTTTAAAGAAGTTAGTACCAGGCCAGGCGCGGTGGCTCAAGCCTGTAATCCCAGCACTTTGGGAGGCCGAGACGGCGGCACTCACGAGGTCAGGAGATCGAGACCATCCTGGCTCAACACGGTCTACGCCAGTTAGACCACTGGCTAACACGGTGAAACCCTGTCTCTACTAAAAAATACAAAAACTAGCCGGGCGAGGTGGCGGGAGCCTGTAGTCCCAGCTACTCGGGAGGCTGAGGCAGGAGAATGGCGTAAACCGGGAGGCGGGAGCTGCAGTGAGCTGAGATCCGGCCACTGCACTCCATCCACGCCTGGGCGACAGAGTAAGACTCCCGTCTCAAAAAAAAAAAAAAAAAAAAAAAAGAAGTTAGTACCTTGCTTTTCTTGTTTTCTTGCTTTCTCCCTAACGGTCATGGACTGGCCCTGCAGGTCTAAGCTCTGTCTGCATCCAATTTGTTCTTTTTATGTCTTCCATGATTTTTTTTTTTTTTTTTTTTTTTTTTTGAGACAGAGTCTTGCTCTGTTGCCCAGGTTGGAGTGCAGTGGCACAATCTTGGTTCACTGCAACCTCCGCCTCCCAGGTTCAAGCGATCCTCCTGCCTCAGTCTCCCGAGTAGCTGGGTTTACAGGCAAAAACCACACCTGGCTAATTTTTTGTATCTTTAGTAGAGACGGGGTTTCACCATGTTG